CAAATACACATGGGGTATACTAAAACATAATTTTAAAAAGGCTAATTTCAATAAATTAGTGCAGCTTTACAACATATTGACTGGCAAAACCTCTTTAGTGAAAAAAATACACGGATAAATGGAATATTTTTAAACAAATATGAGAAAGGTACACTCAGTACTGGTACACTCAGGTACCATCAGTATGTATTATTTGTTAATAAATATCTGAAAGAAACAAACTGTAACCAATGTGGCTTCGTGGGAAGGTAAACCAAGAAATTAAAAATAAAACGTGGCATTTAAAGCATTTAAAGCAGACATATTAGAAACATTCTATATAAGAAAGGCAATAATGCATGCAAAAAGGAAATTACATGGGCTAAAGTAGAAAATAAGAGCAAAATCTAACTCCTAAAAAGATTAAGTATAAAAACGCTAAAATAAACAACAAAAAAATAAAGTATAAGTAGATTGAAAACAGAGATGGAGATGTTAGGTAATGAAGACGGGTGAAAAGTCTGTGTAAATTATAGACCTATGAGCTTAACGTCTGTGGCTGGGAAAGTATTTGAAGGGTTATTAAGTGATAATATTCAAGAATTCATTGAGAAGAACATTTTTATTAGCATAATCAGCATGGTTTTATGAAACATCATGTCAAACTAACTTAATTGCATTCTATGAGGAAGTATAGATCAGGGTGTTCCGATGGATGTGATCTACTTGGTCTAGTTGCCAAGGTGTTCCACATAATAGTTAGTGTTCAAACTATAAGAAATTGGTCTAGATGAAAATAATTTTTCTTTGGTAGAACATTGGCTTAAAAACAGAGTACAGTACATAGAGTTGTTGATAATGGTAAACTTTCAAGCTGGACAAAAGTGGTATGTAGAGTCCCTCAGGGTTTGGTGCAGGGACTGTTTCTATGAAATATTTATAAATGGTCTTGAAACAGGCATTGATTTGCAGATGACACAAAACCTTTTAAAGTAATACAATGTAAGCAGGAAATTACTCTGTTGCGAAGTTATGCACTTTGGGAAAAAGAATGCACAAGCAACTTACATCCAAAACAGTTATATAGTAATTACAACACAAAAGAAGGATTGTTATAGACAACAAACTAGGCAACAATGTACAATGTCAGTCAGCAGATGCTAAGGCTAGTAAGGTATTGTTGGGATGAAAATATAATTTTGCCTGTTTGTAATTCAATAGTAAGACCACACCATGAATACGCGGTGTAATTTTGTGCACCTGTTCTAAAGAAGGGTATTATGGCACTAGAAGAAGTGCAGAAGTGGGCTACAAAATTAATAAAAAAAAGAATGGCAAATTTTATTTATGAAGAAAGTTAAACAAATTTAAAACTGTTTAGTTTAGAAAATGGTGCTTGAGAGGGGATATGATATATAAATATATTCAGGGCCAATACAAACCATTGTCTGGAAATCTTTTTATAAACAGCACTATACACAGGACACAGGGTCATGCATTTAGACTGGAAGAAAGGAAATTTATTCTAAGGCAAAGGAAGGTTTTTTTTTACAGTAGGAATTCTCTGCCTGAAAGGATGGTTTTATCAGTCTGTACAGATGTTTAAACAGCAACTGGATGAATACTTGCAATAACATGTGAAAGAATTTACCTTGATTCCAAGGTTCAAACTTATAGGTGTCATATTAGATAGCCTATATTAAAATTGGCTAACTTGGACTCAGGAAATGCTTAATGCTTGAAACGACATTTAAGACCATATATGTCTAGTTCCAGGAGCAGATAGCCCCCAAATGAGCTGTGTCTCCTAAATCAGTCTGTTCCTTCTCTTTCCTGGAACTTAGGTGTTATATGTGCATGACGTTCATCCCTATGTCTTATCTGTACTCCTTTCACCTTTTCACTCCCTTTCTACTGCTGTTCTATGAGTATTTAAGCATTTACTTTTTAATGTATAAAAACACAACTGACAAAATAAAGGTAGGATGCTTATTTTGATAACCAACACAAGCCTGGTGTCTAATTCACGCTAATTCAAGTGCACTTGAAAACAATTTGGGTTCCTCCGAATATAACAAAGATCAAATTGGATCTTTATAAAACATAATATTCAGGGATATAATTTTCAATTAGTGGGGTAATAGCTTCTTGATTGAAAGAGAGATCTGACTGCCATTTTGTCCAAAATTAATTATACATAATAATTGGGTGCTAAAAGAAGTGGCAGTCGTCAACGGGGAGAAAATATTTGAAGGGGCATTATAGTCACCAAAACAACTTTAGCTTAATTAAACAGTTTTGGTGTATAGATTATGCCTCTGAGGTTTTACTGCTCAATTCACTGCCATTTAGAAGTTTAATCACTTTTGTTTCTGTTTATGCGGCCCTTGCCCCAGCTGTGAGTGACAAAGGCTGCTTGAACATAAAATGGTTTCATTTTCAATCAGATGTTAACTTTAGACTACTTTAGAAATTTTTATGTCCTTCTCTGTAAATTAAACTTTAATGACACACAAGAGGCTCCTGGAGAGTCTAGCAACTCTGTCAATCAATGTCAGTCAGCAATGTCAGACTACAGTGCATGAGATAAATTCTGAATTAAACAGACTGTGCAGTAAAGGAAGTATATACATTAAGTGACTCTTTACAGGAAGTGTTTAGGAAGGCTGTGTAAGTTGTATGCAAGGAGGTGTGACTATGACTGAATAAACAAAGGGATTTAATTTCTAAATGGCAGAGAATTGAGCAGTAAGGGCATGATATATACACCAAATGTTGATATAAATTTAGATTTTAAAATTTTTCTTTAACATGGCCACATTTTACCAAGCTTCCACTGCAGTGATGCCATTTCCTAACCTCATTCTAGTGACATCAGGCACCCATTTGTGTGATTGCTATCTTATCTGCAGTTGACTTGACAAATAATGGGTTGGACAAACTGGGACTTTATTTCACTAGATTCAGGGCAACAGAAGCCCTGTTGGCAGAGATATCACACATTTACTGCCTATACTTTTGCCTTCACTTCTCTCACTTGCTCAGTTGACATTACTAAGAAATGTTGTTCAGTATGCTGTAGGGACCTCAATACATTTGCAATGTATTTCACTTACTTATGTGTGCTGGACATTTTTGTTTTGGATTTTCTGCTAATTGGTTGCAGTGTAACATACAGTATGACATTTACATCTGTGACATAAAGAGAATGGCTTACAAGTCACAAAGCATTAGAGTGCTATCTTTTGGCCACAGGTTTGAAGGTTCCCTCAGAGCACTGCCATGGAAAACCATTGTACCAGCAAGCGTTTTACTATACTGGCCACTCGGAACTGGGATAAATGTCTAATAATACTTAACCGTGATCCAGGTAGCTTTAACCCTTCCATGAAAATAAGGTTACGACATGCAAGTTAACTTCCACACTCACAGACTGTCACAGCCCAATTCCAGAATTATAGTTTTGAAACTTAAGCTTATTATTAACCAACAAAAGAAAGCTATTCAATTGTAATTTAATACATAAACAGTCCACAAAAAGAAAGGGAAATGTACAGATAAACACAGTAAATAAAATGTACATTACATAAAATTCTACCTCACAGTCTCTTATTTGTTCATATAAAACTATTCATTGGGGTTGAGGTGTCCCGAGCAATGAAGTGCAGATCCCCGAGTTCAGTCTCAAGTGTCCTTGGATGTTTTGCAGTGGGGCAGCCATGACCTGAATTGCCTGAATCGAGATTTGCTTGTTGATGTAAGCATCCCACCTTCATTCAGGATTACGCATGACTATCTACACCCAGTCAGGGGTGTCCAGTGCTGGGAATGGTCCTCGTGTCATCCATTAGCTGCACTGTACCTGGGGGACCCCATTCAGACAAAGGAACACACAAAAACAGGAGGGAAAATGTGCACCATGCATTGGGGAATGTGTGCATTTGCCTCCATCTCACTACAACAACTTGTTCACTAGGTGGGGAGAAAGTCATTCAGGAAAGACTGGTGTAATAAGCAAGGGGGAATAATCTGGAGGTGAGAAAGGCACATATTGGGACTATATGCCTGTCTGTAAGACAGAGTGATACTTCCTTGGTGAACAATAGGGGAGGGAAGCATGCATATACCATATAGCAATACATACTTTAAATACTTGAATTAGATGCAAACAAAATAGCACACAGGATGCACATACTTGCCCATCCAATGTTTGTTCATCACAATGTACTATTATTCTCAGCTACATGCAGATCCATCACTTGCAGTTTATCCTGCCCATGTTATTTGGAAAGCAGTACAAAGTTTGACTTACAATCTTTGTGAAGACTTGATATAAGAAACTTATTTCACTTATAGAGTGTCTTAAAGGGACACTCTAGGAACCCAGACAACTTCAGCTCATTGAAGTGGTTGGGGTGCCAACTCCCATCACCCTTAACCCTAGAGTGGTAATTATTGCAGTTTAATTACCTGCTAGGGTTAACTCCTCCTCTAGTGGGTGGAGCTGAGCCAGTGCCGAGGGACATCGGCGGTGGACCCAGGTGAGTGACTGAAGGGGTTATTAACGAGTTTGTTTTCCTGGCACTATTGTTTCCATTTAACATAGAGATTTGGAGAAAAAAAATAAAAAATTGCTTCCGAGGGGCGGGGCCTAATCGCCATTATGAGCAGTCGCACATGAAGTGAGCTCCCAGCTATACTACAAGAAAAAGCTGATAAACTGACTCAATACCCGAGCAAACCTGACGAATCCTGCTGCGGACACCCTGCGACACAATTGACGGCATATTACCGATCGAATGGTGGTTCTACCCCGACGCAGCTCTGAGAAATATCCGAGGGGGCAGCTAGGGAGAAACGGACGGTCTCCCTGCTGACACCCTGCCTGGACGAGTAGAGGTGATCGGGCTCCCCGTTCCCCCCCCTTGCCGGTGAGGTACATCCCGGTATATAATCGACTATTCATCAACAAGAGGGTATGTGATCCTGTAATCTGAGGCCTTTCACTCAGCCGTCCCAAAATGGCGGACGCGCCATGTGAAGGCAGCTTAGCGACTTCCATGAAGCGCCTGGACGAAATCTTCGTCAACTTCTGGCGCAAACTCGCCGTCAGGCAAGAGCAACGAGAGGAGAGGGAACGGGGCTACAGCTCCCTGCAAGGCTTGCCTCCTGCCACCCACCGACCTGCTAAACATGTAACCCCACGCCACGCAAGCTACACCAGCGGAGGCGACGCAACTGACCCCCAGGCACTTACAGGAGCCCAAAAGCGACCAAAATTCAACACCGCAATCACGGGCTGAAAACAGCAAGGAGGAGCCTACCGGCACACACCTCGCACCTCAGAGGATGGGGCATCAAGAGCAAGCTGACACTACACCACACCGAGCCAACGGCAGAGGAGTTGCATGCAGCCGGACCAGCAGGAACCGGAGCCCGACTCAAGCATGGGAAAGACAGCACGCCAAGATTAGGGTCATTGAGACTCACACATCCCAAAGAAGCCAGGTACCAAGACAAGGGATGGGGTGATAGGCCACTAATGTGCAGCCTGGACATTTCAGTCACCGTCAAGCTTTTCTCCCACGGACTGATTTGTACCGATCCACACCTGGACTATTTACGCTACATAGCCCACTTAATCGACCTTTATGCAACCCTGATAGTACCCAGTTGTCACGGCGCTCCACCCGACCTGAACAGCGGAGAATATTGATTTCTTTATTGTACAGGACCCCCTCGCAGACATAACGCCCTCCCATACACTGGGCATAGGTTGAAAGGGGCTCCACAAGCCAGGAAACACAGAGGTCCATGCCTTGCCCCTCTGCCACAACAGACGCTGTCCAGACCAACACGCAGCCTCCCTAATTGAGACTCACAGTGGGAGAAAACTTTACAGTAACCCTCAATGTTTGAAGGTTCCTAACTGTTCAATCATTTTTATGTGTGTTTAATTGTTAAGCATTCTCATCCTAATCTCTCACTACTCATATAATGGCTTACAACTCACACCAGTCACACACTCTTAACCACTGTTTAGCTTATAGCCAGCTTTCAACATGACTATCTGATATCTACAGATTGATGATTTGCTAGTAATCCAACATCCTAGACATGTGCATAGCATGAATTAACCCTGATTTTCTTTTATAACAATGTGCCATGCACTGTATTAGAAAGATTTTGTTTTATATGTACCTCAAGAATAATAGACAATACTGCAGAAGCATTGAAAGCTGGTTACCCTTGCCTGAATGGTTATGTTTTACAAAGAGCTTATGAACCTGTAGACATGTACATTCCTGTGTGTTAAAATACTCAGTACTAATGATGACTACTTCAGTTGGCATAGCTTGACCACCACACAATCTTGTTTTACCTACCTACTGACATTTCTTATTAGGATACTGTTCCTCGCCTGTAATCCCAATATAAAAATGTGCAATCTCTATTAATGCCATGCCAATGATATATTCTGCCTATTTTACTATGCTTCACAGATCTCTCGTGGCATATCAAACCTGTTTGTTAACACTTGCACAATAAAAATAAAGAATTTCAAAAATTGCTTCCTTCTAAGAGGGAAAAAATGTTCTTAGTTTGCTTGCATCATATGTTGCAAGTACAATTGTTTTTAATGTTATCAGTGGTTAGCACTTTTCTCAAACAGGTGCAAAAAATAAAAACATTAAGTGCATTTTAGCTTGGTAAAATAGGATAGAACTTTAAACAGTTAATAATGTCTAAATTGTTAGGAGCTAATCAATGAGCATTGTGGGATTTTTGCCTTGTGTCTATAGTCACTGGAATAGTAAGCTATCGCATGCTAAGTCAATTTCAACGTCAGGGATTCAGTACTTTTTTATTCTTAGTGTTGATTACAGTATTCATCATAAACTGAACAAGTGATGAACAAGTGTAATAAATTATCGGTTTCTATTTCAAGTTTGTTGGAAACATCACACAAATGAGAAACAACAAAATAAAGCAATAATTTTAACCCCTTAAGGACTGGACTGTTTTTGCGATGTTGTACATTTGCGACCAGGCATATTTTTACACTTTTGTGGTGTTTGTGTTTGGCTCTAATTTTTCGCTTTCTCATTTACTGTTCCCATACAAATTATATATTGTTTTTTTCAGGACAAAAGGGGCTTTCTTTACATACCATTATTTATATAATCTCATGTATTTTAATTTAAAAAAAATACAAAATCTGATGAAAAATTGAAAAAAATACATGTTTTTTGACTTTTACTTGAAAAATCTTTTACTCATCTACAAAAGCGAATGAAAAAAACTGCTAAATAGATTCAAAATTTTGTCCTGAGTTTAAAAATACCTAGTGTTTACATGCTTTTTTGCTTTTTTTTGCATGTTATAGGGCTATAGGTACAAGTAGGATATTGCGGTTTCAAAACATACATTTTTAAAATTTATCAATAGTGACATTGTAACACTATTATCTGTCATAAATCTCTGAATAACACCCCACATGTACATATTTTTTTTAAAGTAGACAACCCAGGGTATTCAATATGGGGTATGTCCAGTCTTTTTTAGTAGCCACTTAGTCGAAAACACTGGCCAAAGTAAGCATTCATATTTGTTTGTGTGTGAAAAAGTAAAAAAACTAAATTGAACGCTAATTTTGGCCAGTGTTTGTGACCAAGTGGTTACTAAAAAAGACTGGACATACCCCATTTGCAATACCTTGGGTTGTCTTCTTTTGCAAATGGTATGCCATCATGGGGGTAATTCTCATTCCTGGGCTACCATACGCTCTCAAAGGCAACGTAACCAACCTGGCCATTTTCAATGTAAAAATATTTGACCCATATATTTGACCTTGTAACTTTCAAAAATGCTATAAAACCTGTACATGGGGGGTACTGTTTTACTCGGGAGACATCGCTGAACACAAATATTAGTGTTTAAAAACTGGAAAACGTATCACAACAATTATATCATCAGTAAAAGTGCTGTTTGTGTGTGAAAAATGCAAAAAAAGTAACTTTCACTGACAATATCATCGCTGTGATATGTTTTACTGTTTTGAATCACTAATATTTGTGTTCAGCGAAGTCTCCCGAGTAAAACAGTACCCCCCATGTACAGGTTTTAGGGTGTCGTAGAACGTTACAGGGTAAAATACAGTGCTAACAAATTAAATTCTCTGGAATTTCGGCCTGGGTTGGCAGGCAGGTCCCTCAAATTGCAATCAATAAAATTACTGAATTATGTAAAAATATTACATAAATACGCACGTAGAATTTAAATATATATGCATATTTATATATTTGAAGTCTACGTGTATATTTATATAATTATTTATGTAATTTTGTATATGGACATATGTATATTTCGTATTATTTTTATTTATTTATATATACATAGATATATATATACAAATTCATTCTAAGTGTATTTGGATATAAATATATATATATATTAATTTTAAAATACAGTTAGAATAAAATTTCATATAGATATATAATTTTTTTTAAATTTTTTATTATTATTTAAAAAATTTTTATTTAATTTAAATTACTTATTATTTATATTTTACAATAATATATATACAATATATATAGTTATTATATATATTATATATATACGTGTGTAATTTAATTATAAGTGTATTTTTATATTAATATAAGTACATATTAATATAAAAATACACTTAGTATGGCATTATATATATATGATATATAGACATATATTATATAGATGTAATATATGTCTATATATCATATATACACATATATAATTATTTTATTTTTTTATTAACATTAACTTTATTTTTATTTTTGATTTTACACTAGCAGGGAGACTGCCTGTCAGCACAGACAGTCCCCCTGCAGGCAGACACATGGACACCTATTGTGACCATGTGATCGCTGTGTTGAGCGATCACATGGCCACAGGGGTCCTAATTCAGTGTGGGGAGACTGTCTGGGCTGCAGGCAGTCTCCCCACAACCGGAGCAACGCTGATCGCCGCCGGGGGAACGACGGCGATCAGGTAAGTAACTAGGACCGTTAGGACGGTTCAGGACCGTCATCGGTCTGCAAGGCAAAAATGCCGATGACGGTCCTGAACCGTCCTCGGTCGTGAAGGGGTTAAAACAGTATGCAGACATTTTAACTCAAATTTAAAGAAATTAAAGTAGCTAAGAATTTTTATATCAGCCTACAATTAATAAATTCCCTCGACATTTTAAAGAAATACAAAGCAATTTTGGACCAAGGCCGCAATTGAGGGTTGCTGTCACGAGATGAGTATGAATTCATCTATGCTCATGCTCCGAGGATAGCAACCTTCTACTGCTTGCCAAAGGTCCATAAAAGCCTGACTGAACCCTGTGGCTGCCCAATTGTGTCTGGAGTAGGCAACCTCACTCAAAATGGTAGTATATATATCGATAAGATCCTCAGACCATTTGAGGAACAGTTGTCGTCCTACATCCAGGACACAGAGCAGGCCCTCACCCTCCTCTCAAATTTGAAAGTCCCTAAGACAGCCAGCTTATGCAGCTTTGACGTGGAGTTATTATATTCCTCTATACCACGTGACCGGGGCATTGACCATTTTCTTTACAAAAAGAGGTGTGAGCCTTGAACCCCATACTGAATTTATGTTGAAAATCCTTGGGTTTGTCCTATTTCCTGTTTAGTGGCATATTCTACCAACAGGTGAGGGGGATTGCGATGGGGACTGCCTGTGCCCTGTCTTATGCGAACCTTCACCTGGGGTGGTGGGAAGAACATACTCAACATCTAGAAGCCCTATGGGAATTTCTTACTAACATCCTATGGTGGCATCGATATATAGACAACATCATTGTTGTGTGGCAGGGCACGCCCGACGAATTCAACAGATTTGTATATCTTTTCAACCAAAATGAAGAAAATCTCAGGTTTTCCTCAGAATTTGGAGGACGAACTCTTAATTTTTTGAACATTGCCATCTCAATTATGGAAGACGGCTCTGTCCAAACCACTCTATTTAGGAAACCTTCGGCCTCCAATGGCCTCCTATGTTGGGATAGCTTCCATCCAAAACCCAAGATATGGCATCCCGATTGGCCAATAGTTAAATCAAAAAAGAATGCACACCAAAAAACCATAAGGGGGGTTTGTTTATTTGATTCGTGTTTCTGCCCGATTAGGCTTGTGAATTGCAGTAAATACTTATTATTGTTTATTATCTGTAGCCTATATTGTGTCACTGACTGCTGTATTAGTATTGTATACTTATTAGTGATTTAATAAATATAGATAGAGACTTCTTATGGTTT